GCCGCACTGTCGGAGGGTCAGTGCTGAGGGAGTGGGCACTATCGGAGGGTCAGTGCTGAGGGAGCGCCCCACTGTCAGAGGGTCAGTGCTAACGGAGCGCCACACTGCTGGAGGGTCGATGCCAAGGGAGTGCCACACTGTCGGAGGGTCAGTACAGTTGGAAGAAGTGAATGGTGTTCTGTCCTAATGTACACCCTGCTGAACATCAGGCAAGGTAGATGATCGAGTTATAACCACATTGCTGTGCGCCACTTTGCGTTGTGACGAGAATGGTTGGGTGTGGGGAGAGAGATGAATTTACGTACATTTCCAGTTGTTGAGCTGGTCTCTGCCATTCGCTCCCCAGGTGAGTTTCCAGCACGAGACATATCCTGCGCCCCCGATTGTGCCCGAGAAAGGTGCCGCCGACCCGGTGGGCCTGGAGCTGGAGGAGCAACCAATTGCGCGGCAAGTCTTCATTGTGCAGGAGCTCGAGATCCGGGACCGGTTGGCCAGCTCCCAGATCAACAAGTTCCTTTACCTCTACACCAGTGAGAAGATGCCCAGGAGAGCCCACTCCAACATGGTGTGTACAACGGCAGATTACGTTTACATAGCAACTTTGATGCTGGGAGATTTCCCAGGATGCTTCACTGGCGTGAAATCCTGGCACTCCCTCCCTAATGGCACCACTCAGACTGCCAAGCAGTTCAGGAACACCTTCTCAAGGGGCATTGAGGACTGAGCAATAAGTGCTGGGCCCAGCCTGTGATGCCCACACCCCACGAATGAATTAAAAAAAAAAGTGATGACTGGTGGTTGTGTGAAGTTGGATGAAAGCCGTGTTCGCCTGTTACAACTGTCCCCTGCTGTAGACACAGGTTCTCATTGGGAGCAGATAGCACTGCACCAGCTGCCTCCCAACCTGACACCTCAGCAACTGTTTTCCCAAAGGGTGTCCCACAATTTCCACCAGCAGTGACAGTGATGGAGGGAAAACTGTTTTCCCAAAGATGTCCTGTGATTGCACCTGTACCGGGAGGTTGGGGGGAAGCAAGGACTGAGCTGCAGTTTGAACTCGGATAACCCTGGAATGCTCCCCCTGTCTCCTCCCATGGCTGAATGCATTTCATTGTGGGCTCAGATACTGAATTCTCAGCATAATTGGCCCAGATTCTCTGTATCTCCCACTCTCCATTAAACCATGCTTCCAACTCCACCCCCGCCCCCGCATTTACTACGGCTAATCTGCACATCCCTGGGCACTATGGGACAATTTAGCACGGCCAATCCACCCGAATCTGCATATCCCTGGACACTATGGGACAATTTAGCACGGCCAATCCACCCTAAC